TGGCTCAACTCTGTCCCCAAGCTTCTTAACAAGCAGCTGATGGAAAAATTCAACCAACTTGTCTTCAGCAGTATCCCCTTAACTTACAGAGAAGAAAAGCAAGGTGTTATTTTTGAGGAAGATGTTCTTTTTCTGGAAAACTTCAAAAGCCAGGTGACAAGATTTTCATGCAATCCTCCTTCCAGGCTACTGATACTTCCTGTGCCTCCTGCATACTAGGTCCTGTGGTAGGGGCTGAGATTACAAAGATACAGAATACGATACGGTCTCTGCCTCCACTGGCTTAAAATCTAGTAAAGGAAATATGTAAATATAGTTTTTTAAGTGAATAAAACATGTAAGTGAATTATTCATGAAATTTAAAAACAAAGAATAGGGGGAATAAACAAAAATTACATTAAGGGTATTTTATTTTTCCCAGGGCACTATCCACTTTGGGGGAGCCCTGACAAAGATCGGCTTCTCAAGTGAAGTTTGGTCTGTTATGATATCTTTGGTGGGGGCCTGTGCTTTGAGTAGGAGCAGAGAACATTCCTTTCCACCAGATTATATAGAAGAGATAAACAGAATTTAGAATCCAAAGGTGGATGAGGCCTTAGACAATTCTTATTTCAAACTTTTTATTTTTTATTTTTGAAGAAATTGAGATTCACAGATGGGACGATACATGCCCAAAGTCACATAGCAAGTAAACAATGCTTCTAGAAGAAGAACAAGGTCTTCATACTCCAAGGCAGCATTTTCTGTGATGCTGTTAGGTCACCTGAGAACATCAAAGATCTGGTTTTCCTGATGGTAGGTTAAGCATCAAAGATCTGGTTTTCATGACTTTGGTAGGCGAAGCAAGTACTTGCTCTATTCTTTCTCCTTCCCTAAATCAAATGTATATGTTAATGTTGCTATTCTTGAAAAAAAGAAAGAGAACCAGAGCGAACCAAAAATTGAACAAATTCTGAAAGACAGAAAACAGATAGGAAGATAAGAAGGAAATCATCACCCAGGACATTGTGGAGCTGTGCCTCAGAAAGACGGGTGCTTCTCACCAAGAGCTGGGATTGGAGGGCAGGACGTGGTCTGCTGTGATCAGCAGGTCATTAGTTGAGATGTCAAACCTGCCAGGATGGTTCACCCCTGTACAATTCTCCTCTCCTTTTAATAAATGCACAATTGCCAAAATTTTGATGATAACCCAAACCATGAAAAAGACAGCAAAATCAACAAATGGAAAACTCACATCCAAGGAAATATAATTAATACAGTAATCAGTAGAGAACATTTGCATATGTATATTTAATATCCCAGAGAGATATGAAGGGGCATTATCCGTGAAACAAGTTCTAATCACTTCGAGGTCTCAGTTATAAAAAACATAATTATAGGAATCAACAGGTTGGTTGAAAAGAAGAATGTACACATGAAAAGCAAATTATAATTTCTGGGGCCGGCCGAGTGGTGCGATCGTTAAGAACTGGCTTGGGACGCCAGAGGGCCCCGGTTCGGATCCCACATATGAGGGCCAGTGACACTGCCCTCTACAGCTAAGATGATGAACAATAGCTCAACCTGGAGCTGGGCTTCCTTGAGTCGCCGGTGACGGCGTAGCCTGCAGTCCCCTGTGGCAGTGGGTTGCCATAAGCTACCGTGTGTGGCCAGCAGCCAGCGTGAGCGGCCAGCAGCCACCGTGAGCAGCCGTCCAGAAGCCAGCGACTGATGTGCCTCACCTGGGAAGAGCGCAATGATGGTGCCAACTTGGGCCAGAGAAGCAACGTCCTCCACAACTAGACTGAAGAACAAAAGGACAACAACTTGTCTGTTCCCCTTCCCCCAATTCCCCAGCATTGTTACCATCCCCCCAATTCCCCAATAAAAACATCTTAAAACAAATTATAACTTCTGACTATGAAAGTGTAGCATTCTCTCAGAACCCAGCACAATGGGATTTAGGGGCAGACAGTATGGAAAAAGAGCTGAAATGTGGAAACTAGATTCTTGAGTTTCAATGTCAGTGAAAAGAAATGCTAGAATGAAGGATTAGAGAAGGAAAGAAAAAGCAATATTCAAATCAGTAATAGTTAATAATGTCCCAAAATTAAAGAAAGAAGTCCAGGCATTGAAAGGCCCACTATGTCCTGAACAGGATAAATAAAAAATGAGTATAGATAGAGGTGGCCAATATGAATTGGGGATGTTCCTAATGATTCTGTTAATGTCAAGGCAGTGGACTAGGGACATTAGACCTAAACTCATTATTATAACATGGATATAACCTGATCCTTCTGGATGACTCTTCAAAATATCCACTACATTCAGTGCAATCCAGCAGTCAGCAGTGCTGTATAGACCGGAAGGAATGTACTGATTTCTGAATTTCTTCCATATTGGTGTTGTGATGGACAGGCCCAAAGATGGTCTCCAGTGATCCCCATGTCGTGGTGATCATGCTCTTGTGTAATCTCCCACCCTTGAGTATGGGTGGGGTCTGTGATTTGCTTCTATCCAGAATATGGCAAAGGTGAAGAGAGGCCTTCCTGTGATGATGTAACGTATGTTAGACTCTCTAGCTCAGCAGCCAGCCTCGAAGAAGCCATGTTGTGAACTGCCTATGAGAGGTTCATTCATCAAGAACTGGGGGTGGAATGGAGGGACTGAGAGCCTCAGTCCTGTAACCACAAGGGACAATTCTGCCAACAGTCTGAATGAGCTTGGACATGGACACTTCCCCAGGTAAACCTCCAGATGAGAATGCAGCCTAGCTAACACCTTGATTGCAGCCCAGGGGTGTCCTGAAGCAGAGGACCCATCTAAGCTGTGCCCAAACTCCTGACCTAATCCTGGTGATTCTGGTGAATTTTGATCAACCTTTGGTATGTCCCATGTTACAATTTGAATGGCTGAAGGCTGCGTAAAAAGGGAAGTATCTATGCCTAGTACTACTGCTCTGCTCAGCTCTGCTCTCTCAGGCTTCCCACAGACACACTAAGTGTGTGCCCTGCCTTCCAAAGTAGGAACAGATTACTATGTCATCTGGGTGTGGTAGCTCTGACTGTGGGAGGAAGAGTTATCCAAGGTAGTTGATGCCCAAGTCAGGTGACAAGGCTCTTGTCACTTGTAATGCTCAGGTAGGCCCACATGGAATTCACAGGGGCAGTTTGTCAGCAGCGGGGCTCACACCTGCATGCACACATACTCATAAACGCATGCACATGGATGGGCTCAGGCCCCCCAAAGATGCTTATCTATTAATCTCTTGGGGCCACAGGGCATTTCTGCTGCCTGGGATGTTTGTGGCTTGATGAAAACTCTGGGTGTCCATCTTATGGCAGGTTATGGTCCATCTCTAACCTCACTCCTGTGGAAAGGCCTGCACCCTCTAAGCAGTCAAGTACTGATGGGGCCTGGAAAGTGGCTCTTAAAATTGAAGGCACGTGCCCATCAAAAAGTATTCTGGTAAAGCATTAGCAGTGAAATGAAAGGGGTCACTTCCAAATGAGCTGATTGGGTCCACTTGCCTCATTTCCAGCAATTTCTTAAAGAGTTATAGGAATGCAGTACAGGGCTGATCCGGTGGCTTCATGGAAGAGCTCTCATTCCAGTCCCAGCGCCACACTCATTCTTACAGCATGCCCTCATGGGAAACCCTTCCCCACTTGAGTCTCATTTTTCTCATCTGTAAAATAAAGAGTTTGAATTTGGGGAAAATATTTTCAGAAACTAAATTTCTCTTCGTCCTACCTGGAAATCATAATGTCTACCTCACTGAGCACATGTGGGATGATGTTTGTGGAACTTCATTACCTGTAAGAGCACCGTTGACTGTTGCGGATCATCACTGGCCACACCATCGAGCCATGGACCTGTCACTGCTGAGGTCTGAACCTGAAAAAAAGTCTCAAGTCCCGAAGACACCTTGGGAAGTTAATTCACTCAGCTCATGCTTATGCTTATAGCATCAACTGGAATTGCTTTTATTTTTGTTTGATATCAAGCTTCCTCATTTTCTATAAGCAATTGTGCTTGTTACTTAAGGTGGATCTGCTCATATGGCCCATGGCACAAACCCAGATGTCTGCAACGTTTTTGCACGTAAGAGTTCTCAGGAGGGACTCAAAATCTATCTTCAGTCACAAAAGGGAGCACTAAAGACAAATGCACTCACATCAATTTCCTGGGATCCTTGGCTTCATCTACATACTGCATGAACTCCATCCTGTCTTGCTGTATTAGAGTCAGACATTCCAAGGAGAGTTTGAATATAGGGGCCACATATAACTCCCTCTGTCCCTCTAGTTTCTAGCACCCCATAGGGTTAAATAGGGGAGGATGGTAGATGGAAACTCTCAGTGGCATCACCCCGCCTCTCTGCCAATGGCAGAAGTTCTGCTCTGCCCCAAGCTTGCATGTTCCATTCAGCAAAATTAAAGCTGTATAACTATACCTAGACTCCTTCGAAGGCAGTGTACTGCCCATCAGCTGTTATTCAAACATGTGCCTTGAAGGAGGTCCCATCCCCAATTCAAATAGTTTATCAAATCAAAGCATTTTTTCCAAAACTACATAATATTCTTCATGGAAGGAGTATGGTAAATACAACAGGGTCATGCTTTTACAATCATTAAAGATTGATATCCTGGTCCTCTCATCTGTCAAGTGGAGATAATAACAAAGCATTGGTTAAGGATTAAATGAGACAACTGATGGTTTGGCTGGGCAAGAAAGAAGAATGATATTCTAAGGATATATAGCTGACCGCACCGTGTACTGACTTAAAAATGCTTCTTGTCCCGGCTGACTAAGTACAGCTTTCTAATGAGCATCTTACACCCAGCCCCATTCCTGTAAAAAAGCAACTTTCTAATTCTACTGGATCATATGGGTCTGAGTTTCAGTCTTCATGTGCATCAGCCAGAGACAGAGACTATCAGGACCTCAGGGCCTTCTGATCCAAGCCCTCTGTACCCTGCTGTGGGCTCTAAGTAACAAAAAACCCAACTCAATCCAACTTAAGCAATAAAGGGTTTTTATTGGCTCATGTAACAAAACCATCCAGAGGTAGGGCCAATCGCAGGCAAAGCTTGATCCTGTACTTAAACAATGTCACCAAAGACCTGGCTTCTTTCTGTCTCTTGCCTCTTCCTTCAGTAGTGTCCGCTTCAGGCTGAGAGTAGTTCCCTTCCATGGTCCCAAGATGGCCACCATCAGGACCCAAGATGATCTATTTCTCCTTTCATATCCAGCAGAGTGGATAGAGTCTCTACCCAACATTTCCAGGAAAAGTTTTGAAATTTCCTCTGGCTGCTTTGCCCTAGCTCACATGACCACACCTGAACTCATTACTGTAGTCAGAGATGGGATGTGCTGTTGGCTTAGTCCAGATCTTGGGTTCGCTCCTGGAAGTGGTGATAGTTAGCTCAGCCAGATCATAAAATCCCCAAACAGTAAGCAGGGGCTGCTAGGAAAGGAAATGGGGAGGGGGGATGAACATTGGGGATGCAATCAACAATATCCACCACATCCTTCATTTTATGGGTGAAAAATTTGAGAGGGAAAAGGCCTTCCCAAAATCACAGCAGAGCAGAGTGAGGACCACAACCCAGCCCTTTCATCTGCAGACCCTGTATTATTTCCACTCCACTTTTACTAGTTCAGGCCAACTTGCCTAGTACTGAGTGGTGATTAATGTGGGTTCAGACTAACCAATTTCTCCCCAAACCTGAATGAACAGGAGGCATCACATTTCAAACACATCCAATGTATTTCCAGTCAAAAGAAAACAAACCTATGCCCCAAGAATTCTTGCAGCCACAAAGATTCAACCTCAGCACTTCCATCTCCTCTCTTGGGGCCCCCTAAGAGCCAAGTAGCTCCTGCTACTTTTAAGGGGGAAAATGCATTCTGGTGTGCAAACATTATTGCATATTCACGCACTCAAAACCTAATTTTAGCTGCAAGAGACTTCATTATAAGATACTCACATAATTAAGCTTTCTTCCCAGGGTTTGGAAGCCTGTCTATTCTCTCTCATTTACACATCACTGGGGTTATCAGAATGTGTTTTGGCTTCTTAAAATTATATATTTTGGGTTTTCCAAATTGATCCACAACAGGAGACGAAATCCATGGAAATTACGTTTTAACACACAGGTTTGTGTATCTCTGTAGACTTGCTTTTGAAGTTGGAATCTGTCCAGTTTCGCTGTTCTCATGGGTTTCTGACGCATTTGTCACATTTCTCCCCTAAATGTAGATCCACTTTTCCTCCTTGGCTGGTTGGGCAGTATCCTCCTTATGGAAAAGCTGTGAGCTCTAGACAAGACCTAACTTGGAGAGAGACAAATGGACTTTCCCCAAAGGACAGAGGGATCCCCTTCCTGTGCGCTGCTCTCCTGCAGAGGCAGGCCCAGGGTGACAGCTGCTGACCATCATCAGCAACAGGTAGGGCCTTTGCAGCTCCCTGTTCAACCAACATCTGGGAGCACCTGCCAAGTATCAGGTGCCTTCCCATGGGCACCGACTCAATGCAAACTGGATATACCCAGATCCCATCATTCTCATTTGCATGCCTGGCTAAGGTGCACAGTAAACGAAAAGGCTATTTGTGCAGGTGGCACTCCACCTGGAAGAGGAGGTCTCTAGGTATCTGGCCTCAGGGGATGTACCCACCTATCTACCAGGAGAAATGGCCTGTGCTGTTGCTCTCCCGACTCTTGGGGTGGGGGTGGGGGAAGCTCAGAGGGCCATGCCGGGGCTGTAGTCCCGGTCATTCTTCCAGCCACACCTCTGTGCTTCTCATCCTCCACGACGTCTACCTGGAGATTATCCGGGTGGCCAGGGAGTGAGGGCCAGTCAGGGAGCCAACCTCTGGTGGAGGCAAGCTTCCATCATCTCCACGGGTTGGTGCTGCTGTCTCCCTTGAGGCTCTCGGTTTGCTATAGAATTCAGGTGTCCCCTGGCCCTTCCAAGGCAGTGTGGAAACTCCTAGTGGGTGTCAGCTACTCCTACAACTCAGGAGACACGATCTCATTAGAGGTCTTATAGGCTTGACCTTGGAGCCATGCTGAGCCAATAAACATTTATAAAAACCTTGGTGTGTCCAGCTCTGAGCTGAGTCAGGTGATGTTTTGGGGAGGGTCTAGAACAGCCTCCGCATCAGTATAGGTTTGGGGGAACCTCAGGAAGGACTTGGAGGCCACCAGGAGCACAGATGCTCAAGCCCACTCATTGGCAAAACTGAAAGCTGCGGAGGCTTCCCTCTGAGGAACGGCAGCTCCACTGGGACATCTAGCCCTGCCTGCCCTCACTGGGAGTGGCTCTCAGCTCCCCATCTCCGGCCAAGGGGCAGAGGTCAGGGCATCCCTATACCCAGCTTTCCCAAACTCTTTGCCCTGTTTTCTCCTTGTAATGGAGCTTGGCTCAGGCTAAGAGGAGGTCAAACAAAGGGGCCCAGCTGAGATTACCCAGGCCTGGAGCTCAGGGGCTGCCTGAGGTCAGGCCCACCCACCTTCCTTCCCCTCACAAAGCTTGATGTGCACCTGAGCTCTCTATAACCCTGCTACGTCTCGGCAGCCCTGGGCCATGCTCCCTGGTCCATTCTCACTTCCAGACCTGAGACCCAGGGTCTCCACATGACATGCAGCAAAGGGTGAACCAGGAAGGTAATTAACCTCAGCACCTCTGCCCTCCCAGGCTGAGCACTGAGTAGATATAAGGACAGAGTCCTTTTCTGTGTCCCCACCTCTGTCCTCACCCACCCACTCCCTTCCTTCTGCTATAGACTGGGAGAGAGACACACATGTGCCCCACACCCCCTTCACCTGTTTTGTGAAACACACCAGGGTTTTCCAAGCCTCTGAGCCTTTGCACATGCTGTCTTCTTTGGCTTAATTATCCTTCCCCTCTGCTTTGCTGGGATAATTCCTACAGATTCCTCAAGACCGGGTCAAAGCCGCTGTGCATTCCCTGAAGGCCTCAGGAACATAAGCTGACCACTGTGAGCCTGCCCAGCACACATGCTCATTTCTGGGTTTCTCACTCCCGTTTGTGATGAACCCTCCCCTGACCTCACTAGGCTGTGCGCTGGGGGTGGGGACAGAGGGCTTTCTCTAAGTCTCCTTCTTCTGGAGGCCAGCACACAGCAGGAGTCAGCAGCTGTGAGTGCCCTGCCCTTTCGTTCAGGAAATGGATGAACAAATGGGAAAGATGGCAGCCTGGCAGAAATAGAGACAGAGGGTATGACAAAGAGGCCCAGTGACAGGAAGTGGTAGGGTGAATAGCAGAGGGACTGAGGGCTCAGCCACGGCCACGTGGGGTCAGGCAAAAGCTGCAGCCATGGCCTTTCCACCAAGGGTAGAGTTGATGGGCCATGTAGCGCCCCTTCCTCATGACCCCAGGGCAGGACACCATGGAGATCAGGAACTTGTCAAGATGAGTGGGGCTACCAGTTGCAGTGATCCCCAAGACCCATCCTTCCTGGGTTTCCCCGCGCCCATGCCAAGCCGCCTTCTGCTGACATGTGGGGCCCTGGGGTCTAGGACTCCCTGAGGCCCAGCTGCCTCCCTGCCCCACTGTCCCCTTGCCCTCACACCCTGTTTCTGAGGCATGGCATGAATGCCCAGCTTTTCCGGGGACAACTAGAGAAAGTAGCCAGGCAAGCAGCTGCACTCCAAGGAGCATTCATGTTAGAAGGGGTGCCAGGGGGTGAACAGAACTTTCGGTGGGTCCTGAGGTTGGTGTGTGTATTAGGGGCACTCGCACTCCACTCTGCCCATAGCGTGGCCAGCCCATCCGCAGAGAAGGGGAGACAGGGCTGCAGAGTTCATGGTGCCCAATTGTCATACCACACATATTTATGGGCTGTCAGATAGGCGGTCGGGGCCGCATGGCCACAACGAGAGTCCATGAACCCACCTCCATACCCAGATCCTTGCTGCTCGGAGCACGAATACCCGCCCAGCCCAGCATCCTGCAGTCAAGGGCCCTGGCCAGTAAGTCCATGCCTGGGGCTGGAAACAGGGAACCCGGGCCCTCGGAGAGCCCTGGTGCACACGTGTGTCTGTGTGAGAGAGAGACAGGCAGCCTCTGGGAACACATAACCTGAAATCTGAGTGTGACTGCGTTTGCAAGTCTGAGCGTCTGCCTGGGTGGGCTAAGGGCTTGTGTCAGGTCGCCCTGCATGTGAAGGAGGCAGCACCCGGGCGACCCTCCCTGCTGGCAGCCCAGGCAACCTTGTGTCCCAGGGAGGCTGCCACCTTGTGTCCCAGCAGGTGCTACCCCAGGGGGTGGCAGGCTCTCGGCGGGGCGGGCAGAACGGCCGGGCCTATCATCTGGGCACATACTCCCTGGGCAGCCCGGCCCAGTTGTGGTCACGCAGGGCCTTGTCCACCGTCCGGATGTAGCCATTGATCAAGTCCTTCATCTCCGGGGTGAAGGGCTCGGGGTCGTGAGGGTGCCCGCCACGCCGCCGGAAGCTGCCTTCCTTGTTGTTCTCCACGCAGAGCAGCCGCTCCTCGCTCACAGACACGTTGAGGAAGGCCACCATCTCCCGCAGCGTGGGCACCAGGCTGTGCCGCAGCTCCTCATAGTGTACGACCAGCAGCCGCTTGCCGTACTTGAGCCAGTCCAGGACGTGCGAGGACCACCACGACGAGTAGCTGTTGACGAAGTCCGGCCACTCTATGGGGGGCGAGAAGGCGCGCCATGTCAGCGTTCGACCTGGCAGGGCTGCTGGTCCTGCATGCCAGGGAAGCAGCCAGGAGGATCTCCCATCGCCCGCTGCCCAAGGTCAACCTGCCCGAGTCTCCCACGGAGGAAGACCCTCTTGGTGACCTCGTGTGACAATCAGGCCAGGCACTGAAGAGTCCTGCCAGAGATGTGACCTTGAGTCTGCCTGCCCCCAGCCGTTACCGTGCAAACACACCCAGTAAAGACAAACGGGGACTGCGTGGACTGAGAACTGCTTCTCTCTCATGTGCTATGAATCCCATGACCTTAGGTAGAGATAGCACCTGGCCAGGGGGAGCTGGGACTGGACCGCACTGCAGGATACAGCGGTATTAAAGACAGGTGGGAAACTGAGGCAGGGCATCTGTCAGGGTGACCCTCATTCACCTTGATCTTGTCTCTGGCAACTATGCACATCTACTGTGGGTGACGGGGGCTGAGCAGTGTGTGGGGGGCAGCCGCTGGGTCTCCTGGTGAGAGGAGGGGCTGCACAGGCCCGACTTCTGTCCTGGCCCCTCCTGTAAAGCTAAGTGAGTGTGGTGCCTGATCCACGCTCACTGAAGCCAGTTAAACTTGTGGCACAGCTGGGCAGTAGGGCATCCAATGACGGCATGGACGGGGCAGCTGAAAACTTCTGCAGATGACCTACTACATGAGATTTCTTTTCCAGCAAATTAAGAAATCGGGGTTTTTTTTGGGGGGGGGGTGAAGGGAGCGTGCAAATGTCAAGAATCACTCCAACAAAAACAGTTTCCATAATTGGGCTACTAATATACCTTAATGCTTTGGGAAGCATTTGCTTTCTCTCATCTTCACCAGGACTCTATGAGATAGGGAAGAAAACTGGGGCTCAGAGGGCAAGGCGTGCAGTTGGCCTGGGGTTACTGGGCTGGAAAGAGGCGGAGGAGGAATCAGAGCTCAGTTGGCCTGCATCCAAAAGGGCAGTCAGCAAGGGGGACAGGAGTGGCTGGGTGGGGAGGCTGGTCTAGGGGGAGGGTGATGGGGAAAAGGGAGGACATGCAGAGGCAGGAGCACCGCCTGCCTGGCCTAGAGCCCCACGTCTCGTCACGCCACCTGCCCTGCTGGATGTGGCTTTATTTCTGATGGCTTCATTTTATATCGCTCACCACCCTGACTTGTACCTCTGTAATTCATTTCCCAAAGGCTAGACTGTGTGCCTTGAGGGCAGAGATCACGACCCCCTTCCCTGGGTCCCTGGTGCCTTGCCCAGTGCCTGGCACACAGTAGGACTTCAGTAAGGACGCGTCAGCAGACTGAGTCCACAAATCAGGTTGTGGCGAGCCCCCCGCCCGCTGGCCCCTCCTGTACCTTTGCTCTTCCAGTTGCGGTCAGCTGCATAGCCCAGGTGCCCAGCGCACTTCCTGTTGAATTCAGCCACCAGCGACCTGTATGGGTTCCGGATCAGCAGAATGGCGGAGTCGAACATCTCAATCTCCCTCCTGCCACTCTCATGGGTCTTCACGCAGATGGTGCGCCGGCTCCGCCAGTGGTCCTTCTCACCCTTAAACCCTGCCCGGGAAGAAAGGAGGGGCCACTTTGGAGGAAGGCATGGCGGAGCCCCCACTGCTATGGCCGCAGACGGATATGAATGCTAACCTGCATCCCTGAGGGAAAGCCGACAACAGGGGCACAAGAGAGGCCTGTGGATGCCATAGCAGAGGGCCCTGGGGGACCTACCGACGGTTGACAGGAGCAGCCTCTAAAGGACTAACCTTGCCCAAGAGAAAGTGAGAGCTGGAGGTGTCTCAGAGTAGGGAAAGATGGCATTGGCAAGAGAAAGGCAATCAGGCACCTCCTGCAGACCCCAGGAGCCAGGAGGCAGACGGCCTGACCAGACCCTGTCTCTAGACAATAAAGATGCATACGTTTGGGCATTTTCTTGGTAATTTCACAAGAATATTACAAATACCCCTGTGAGTCAACTATAGCCATAGGCATAGCTGCGTGAAGAGACTGAAGCTCAGCGTGGGTGTGTGACTTGCCCAAGGTCACCCAGCGCCATGGCAATGGAGCCAGGGCTCTCTCCACATGGCTGTGTGTGTCCCTGTGAGGACCCCAGCTTCCACCCACCGCCACACAGTGGAGGTAGAGTTTCCATCATCATGCTCAAGGGCTGTAAGCAGCTGTTGCCCCTCCCTCTGACTTCATGCCATGGTCCTATAACAGGGCCCCAGCCGTGCATCCATGGGCACGCTCCACCTGGGGCCCTAGAACGGGTATGGCCAGGTCTCATCCACAATATTGGAGCCAGCCCTGCAGAACCCAGGGACCAGTTTCTACGAACAGAGCCTTGTTCTCATTGACCAACCTTTCTGGGCTGGGGGCCTGCCTTCTTCCTGGGCGTCGTGGGTCACTACTGGGGACTACAGCCCGGATGACTTCTGGCTGAGAAGGCCAGATGCTACCAGTCCATACACAGTCACGTATTTATCAACATTCTGGGTTGGACTTTTCATGTCGGGGGTCAAGCACTCAGACCCTGTTTGTAAGCTTATACACTGGTAGGGAAACAGCCCAAGTATACGGGACAGCATAGCAGCTACGGGAAGAAACAGTAGGGAGGACTGGTTAGAGGGTGTAGGGGAATGTCACAGAAGACTTCTTGGAAAGATGTCCCCTGAACCTAGTCTCCTGACCACATCTCAGTGTAGCTCATGCCAGCCAGCTCCATAAATGTGCGTGAGCTTACCTTGTGCTCTTCAAAACATAAACGAGTTCCCCCACCCCTCTTTCATGAATGGCTGGGAAGCATTTGTATCTATAAATGCCTGGAAATTTGCAAGTCTTCTTTGAATCTGGTAATCTGGGTTCCTTAGTGAAACTCAACACGTTTCAAACTCATCTCCACCATGGTCAGATACCAAAACTCTTTGCTTGGATGCATTGTCAAGTAGCTGGGAGTTTCCAGGAAAAGAGGAGTCAAACCATGGGCTGAGTAAACGTGAGATTCAATCTTTGACACCTTGAGACTCAGGGTGACTTTCATACATCTTCAGCCTATTTCACCAGTGGCCACTTTTCCTTACAACTCTGGCCACGTTCACCCATGACAGGTTTGGCATATTGGCATTGGGGCTGCATTGCAAATTTCGCACCTGTGTGTATCATTGCTCTGTAAGTGCACTGAGGCCAGCGGTTTCATCTAACCAGTCTGTAAGGCTCAAAAATGCACTGCAATCTCTAAAGGCATTTTGAAGCTGTGTCAATCCAACCCTTATATATGGCTATTTGAGCCATTGGGCCACTTAGCCATTTGTAGACCAAAAGAGCCAGCTGTGTGAATACGGTAAATGACTTCCAGATGAACAAGGTAGGTAAATGCAGCCTGAGTACAGTGGGTGGTTTCCCAGGGGACTAGGCCAGAGTGGGAGGACCATGTGGCTCCTTTGGCCACTTTACCTGTAGGTGCCTGTAACGCTCAAGGCTCTCAAGGACAAGGGGGCTGGGTTACATGGGCAACCTTGGCTTTTTCCCAACCAGACCAGAATTGCTGTGGGTGATTCCAGAACTCACCATCAAGCTCTGGAATTACTGTTTTCTCTAGGATGTTACTGATAATATTCTCTTTTCCTAAATCAAACTCTAGTTAAGAAACCCAGAGAAAGCGTTGTAGCACTTGACAATAGAGAAATATATTTCACCAAATTTAGTTCCCTCCTAACTTATCTGAGGTTCTTAGTTCCTAAACAGTGCACAGGCTCAAGCCATTTAAGTTCATTTACTTGGCATAACGACGTTTCTTATTTCTACCAGGGCAAGATTAGAAATCACAAAACTCTTGAAGATTTTTGGATCTATTTTTTAAAAACAGCACTTTGATCAGCTATCCCTTGCTTTAAAAAAAAAAAAGAGGAATGAGTAGATGAAGTCAGTCTCACCTAATTATCGAGGGTTCTGAAAATTATGGAAAATTTAAGAAAGGTTTCTAGACAGGGAATCCAAGCTGTTAGGTTTTCCCTTTGAATCCAGCACAGGTCTCATCAATTCTCACTCCAAGTGTGGTCCTAGGGTTGGCTGCCTCAGCATCACCTGGGAGCTTGTTAAAAATGGCAATTCCTGGTCTCCCCCTCAGATCAAATGAATCTGACTCTCAGGGGGTTCAGCCCAGGATTCTGTGTTGAATTTAACAAGCCCTCTGGGAGATTCTGATACACACCCAAGTGTGAGAAGCACTGCTCCAGTGCTCTGAGGGAAAAATCTGGCCACAGGAGGTGCCTGTCCCTGCCCCCCGCAGCCTTTACTTACCTTTGTTGTACAGAGTTCCGTCAAAGTAGTAGCTCCCTGTATAGAAACCAGTGGCGTGCTCAATGAGGTGTCGTGCCCAGGTATTCCCGGCTCCCGGGAAGCTCGACAAAGCCACAAACACTTTGGATTTGGTGGGCAGGAACCTCCTGTCCGTGCACCGCGTGTCTGAAAGTCCAGAAGTTGTGTCAGAGTCACTCACCCCCACTGGGACTCAGACTCACCGCTGCACTCCTTTAGACAGGGATTGTTGATCCAAGACTCCCACTTAACAGAAGGGCAAACTGAGGCCCTCCAAGAGGAAGGGGCTTACTACCTGCACCATGGCCACACAGCTCTGCGGCTGGCCAGGGAAAGCCCCAGTGACGACAAGGCCTCCAAAGACCCGTGCAGGAGTGGGGTGCAAATCAGCATCCTGCCAACCCTCTGCCCCCTCTTTGTCTGCATGGCCACAGCCAAACCCCAGCTCCCAGCACAGCACAGATAACTCCAGATTCTGCAGGGAAGGTGGTGGGGGGTTGTGCCTGGGACGGCCAATGCCACACACCCACGTACAGCCAACAATGAACCAGGGCTAGACTAATTTCAGGCCAGTAGCCTCTGTGCCTCGTCTTCCATCCCTCTAGGGCTGCAAGGAGCACATGACATCATCAAGTGAAAACCCCAAAGTTCCTGGGCCATGCTGGATCACAGTAGGTGCTTGGTAAAGGTGCTCACACAAGGAAGATGCCCGCGCCTGGGCACAGCCCAGGATCCTTACGGGTCCCAGGTCCTGGGCTGGCTTGCGGGGGCCTCTGAGGCCTTGGAGGCCCCTGTGGCCACTGAGCTCCCATGCCACCCAATGCCACCACCTTGCAATTGCTCTCCCTCTCTCTCTCTCTCTCTCTCTCTCTCTGGGCCCTGCCTCTCTTCTCTTCCTTTCTTCCTCAAACCACCTTCATCCCCAGAGAGGCTCAGGTAAAGGTCAGGTGCTCTTCAAACTGAGCCCTGCTTCTTACAGTCAGCCTCCAGGGATGGCCGAGACCTCCCCCTTCCCATTATCCCAAGGTGGGACCACCCACCACGATGCCAGGGTTTTTACACAGATGCCCTTCCCACCTGGGACTTCATGCTCAGCCATGGCCGGTATCTCCAAAGCCCCCGAGCAAATGCCACAAGTGGCAGGCACAGGGAGGAGGGGCCTGCGTGCTTTGCCTACCTCTGGGGCGGGGCCTCACCTTGCACGGGTGTCTGGTAGACCTTGCAGTACTCTGCCAGCCTCTGCACCTCAGGGTCCTGGCCACACAGCGAGCTGTCCACAGCATCCCGCAGGTTGAACTGGGGGGTGGGGTAAGCACAGTAGCACTCCCAGCCCCTGAGGATGGCCAAGGGGAACTCCTGCCAGGCAAGGAAAGGAAGAGAAGCCTCTCAGTTGAATGCAAGGGCCATGCCTCCAGCAGCTCAGGTGCCGGGGTGAACACGTGGATGTGCTGCCAGCTGCAGGGGATCAACAGGGATGACCGTCCAACCTTCCAGTGTTGGGCTCTGTGCCCAGCCCAGAAAGACAAAGTTCAATGAGATGTGACTGCTGCCCTCCAGTAGCTCACAGCCGGCCGGTGACAAGTCAATAGTCACAGCACAGTGTGCGCAGTGCTATGACAGAGGGGTGAACCAGGGATGGAAGGCAGGGAGCAGGGCCTGGAACTGAACTTTCCAGATGTCTAGGAGGTTGTCAGGCGTGCTGGGGCGGAACGGGCACTCCAGGCCGTGGGAGCCGCATGAGCAAACGTGCGCATGGGTCAGAAAGGGTCAGATAGCCCACACAGGGCAGCTTGGGGCTCGACGTGTCACATCTCTAACCAACAGACTGCGAGCCCCAAGTGACGTCTGGAATGCTCACTGGCCCTCCCTGGAAAGAGACCCAACCCAAGCCTTATGCTCGAAGTCCACTGCAGGGTGGAGTTTAGTGCCAAGGACAGATGCCCACGCAATCATCCCTATGAGACAGGAGGTAGGCGAGAACAGACGTCCATCTTCCAAGGCACCCAGCCCAATGGGTGCTTCCTGAGAACGGAAGGACCCTGCCAGCGACCACTCCTGGCAGTCTCTTACAGTTTTTCCCCTGAGGAGGCTGCACCATATGGTGGAGAGAGCTGGGGCACTGTTGCGTGGAAGGCCTGGATGTGAATCTGGGTTCACAGACTGGGTAACCTTGGGCAAGGTGCTGAACCTCTCTGAATTTCACCATTGAACAAAGGTAATATGATCCACCTTGTATGTTTGTTGTGAGAACTAGATGAGAAGGATCCTAACTGCCCCGCGCTGGGCCCGGCGGACGGTAGGAGCTCTCACAGGGGACAGGGCCACCCTTGGCCTCCTCACCCTCTGGGCATCAGCAGCGCTTGCTTAAAAATTCCTCCACACGCCTCTCGCCCACATATTTTTTGAGCATCTACTATGCACCAGGCACCAGATAGGATGCCTGGCCCCATTTCCTCTCTGCCCCTCCCTGCGTCTTGCACACCGGAGATAGAGCCTCCTGGAGCATGGAGAGAGGAGAGGCGTAGAGGAGTGTGTGCGCAGGAGGGAGGCCGTGGGCGGAGAAAACGTCTCACTGCCAAGGGAATCGCCACACAAACCTCTTTATTTTTTGCCCACAGCAAAATCTCATAAATAAATAATAAATAAATAAATAAATGGCATTTTCTGAGCGTGGCTTGGCAAAGCCGGGGATCTCTGGAAAGACAATAGAGGTGGTGTCACAGTCAGGGGAGGGGGGAGACTTTAGGAGGGAGGGGAAGAGAGGCTGCTGGGTGCTCCCCCAGGTAGGGCTGCTCCTGTAAGCACAGGCTAGATTCTCTCCTAGATGCCTGGCAGCCGCCATGAAAGCCTCTCCCCGCCTTCCTCGTCTTTCTTCAAGGCTGAGGGGCAGCTTCGCCTCTGCCAGGACTTGACCAGGGCTCAGGCCCACATGTCTCTTGCAGAGCTGAGCTGCCACAGGGGGACAGGAGGGAGGATGCTTGCACTACTCACACAATACACACACCTACACACACACAGGCGCACACACACACAATGTTGCTGCACTCTGCCTCTAGAGCTCAGAGCTCCCTTTTGCATTGGAAAAACTCTTAAATATTCTCAGGGGCATAAGCAAGTCACTTCTCCTTTTGGAACCTTCGTTTTTCCATCTGTAAAATGGGCACATTCTATGAGCCAGCCTGCCTGGAACAGTCTGAGGATCTCATTTCTCTCCAGCCCTCTCACTAGTTTCCCCTGGTCCAGCCTGATGGCAGTGACGCTAGGACATCCATCCCCAGACCTTTCCTGGGAGAGGTTTGAGATGAGGCTAGATGATGGGCATGGGCAGTCACTGTAAGTTTCCATGGGCCTTGTGTCAGAGGGACCAGGGAGGAAGCACCATGTAGTAGATAAAGCACCAAAAGACCTGGGCACAAGTTGCAGTGTCATAGTTCAATATCTGTGTGACCTTGGGCAAGTCACTGCCCTCTCTGAGCCTCGATTTTCTCATCTGAAACATGGGAGTAATAATGTCCACCCCACAGAGTGTTGGGAGAATCAAGGGAGGATAACGCATGACACGGACCCAGCCCAGTGCCTAGCACATAGTAGGTGCTCCCCTATTCTTATCTCTTTGATTATATCAGAGGGGGATGCAGACCACCCACCTGAAGCTCAGGGTACCCAGAATTTGTTTCCTAAAATTCCTCACTTTGGCTCCCCCTCCAAGGCCCCAAAATCTCAGGATCAAACAAAGGTCAGAAGCCCCTCCCCCAGTTAGCACTTGTGGTCTCAGTCTTGATCAGGCACTTAAAGAAAATAATTGCTTTGAAGACTCAGTGGCCACAATGGGGCCCTAATCCTGGAACCAGCCACTGCTGCCCTCAATGTCAGCTGCAGTGACATCCAGCACTAGTGGCCAGGGTCACCATCACAGTGCAGAGCCGAGGCGACTGGACATGGCAGCGAGTGAGCAAAGGCGGACAAACCCCATCAGTACGTCTGGCTAGACTCCACCCACTTGGGGCCCCCAGGCCATTCCTGACCCTCAATTAGAACACCTCTGGCTTCCTGGAAGCAAGTTCTGCTGAAGTGAGTTAGTGACAAGCCATCACAGGAAGTGCAACCTCAGGCCTCTACCGTCACCGTCCATCCTTCCCCACAAAGCCCTCATCCCAGATCAATGCCTTCATCACAGCAAGCATTGGCAACGAGCAATTTGGGCACCCACGGCGGCAATGGGGAGAGTCCGCGGGCATCTGTCTGTGTCCCAGGCACTTCTGTTCACACAGGCTGTCATGGACTGAACTGTGTCCCCCAAATTTCATATGCTGAAGTCCTAACTGCTGAACCTCAGAACGTGACTGCATTTGGAGCTAGGGTCTTTAAAAAGGTAATTAAGTTAAAATGGGCCATTAGATAGGTGGACCCCAATCTAATCTCACATTATTAGAAGAAGGGATTAGAACACAAACACACACAGGCCAATGGATGACCATGTGAAGACTGAGGGAGAAGGCAGCCTATTCAAGCCAAAGTGACAGGCCCCAGAAGAAATCAACCCTGTCAACACCTTGATCTCAGACTTCTGGCCTCCAGAACTGTAAGAGAATAAATTTCTGTTGTTTAAGCCCCCCCAGCACGCTGTAGCACTTTGTGACAGCAGCCCTAGTAAACTAATACAGTAGCTTTCTTACTGGTCCTTGGCCAGTGTGTAGTCACATACCCACCTCAGGGCCTTTGCACTTCCTGTTCTCTCTGCCTGGAATGTTCTTCCCCCAGACACCCGCAAGGCTTTTCCTCCTCACTTTCTTCCAGGCACCTTCTCCGTGAGGCCTTCTTTGGCCATCCCATTTCAAGTTACAACACCCCTCCCGCCATCACGGATATGCCCTATTCCCAAGCTGTGCTAATTTTGCTTCACTGAGGTGTAACTTACCGCGATGAAATGCTCTGGCTGTAAGTGTGCCGTTCAGTCAGGCTTGATGAACACACATTAAGATGCACAGCATTTCCCCACACCAGAGTTTCCTCCATCCCTTCCTAGTCAGCCCTTCCTGCCTCAAAGCAACTGCTGTTCTGATTTCTATCACCACAGATTCGTTCATCTATTCTAGAATGTCCTGTAAATAGAATCGTCCAGTGCCTATTTTTGTGTCTGCTTTCTTTCATTCAGAAACATATTTGCTAAATCCACCCACGTTTCTTCTGTCACTGGACTGTTCCTTTTTATCGCCGAGTATTATTCCATGTGTGGATGTACCAGTTTATTGATTCACCCACTTGATGGACACCTGGGCTGTTTCCGGTTTTTACCAATTACGAATAAAGCTGCTAGGAACATTCTCGTACAAGTTGATAAACATTTTCATTTCTCATGGGTAAATACCTAAGGCCCTGCTTCAGTTTCCTCCAAATAACTTGTCACCATTCAGCATACGAACTATTTTACCTACTGACCTGTTTATTGTCTCCATCCACGAGAATGTAAACAGGGGTTTCTGTATGTCCAATGAACTTTGTTGCACTCTCTAGAAAATGGCGGCTACTTAATGAATGTTTGATGGACAAACCAATGAATAAATGAATAAAGGACTGAATGAATGTCCTTTTCAGATCCCAGCTCCCCCAAGAGTTGTGGGTAATGGACTCGGGCATGAGCCTTCTGTTGGTCATTTTCACCCTGGGCATGAAGGAGGAAAAGAAAGCTGCTGCATTTAAGCAAAACCTCCCCAACGTCAGGGACCCCAGGGGGCTCTGCAGTCCTGGGATTCTTGTTCTGAGATTTCACCAGCATGGTAGCTCTGCTCAAGGAAGCTGGCTCTGTCTCCCTTCCCAGCTGTAGCAGCGCTGCTGACGTGATGCCTCGTGGCCAGTTGGTCCTACATGCCAGGGCTGGGGACCGGCTGCCCCTACCAGTGACCCAAACCTTTTTGCTTCCCTGAGTGGATTAAACCATCAAGTTTCCAGGTGTTTGCAGAGCGACAGGAGAGCTGCAGACAATAATGTAGTTTTATTTACAACATAACCGCTTCAGCAACATGACTGGATTCTGAAAACACAGAACAATTTTCAGCCCCTTGGGGATTTCTAGGACATGATTTCCATAAAAATTAAATATTGATGAATCTTATCTCTCTGCCAACTTCCCCGCTCCCCCTCCCCCACCCGAAGCTTCGGTGAGAGCAGAGAGAAAGAGGAGAAAATGATTAGAGAAAGCAAGGCAGGAAAACGAAGCAAGAACACAGATGTGGGATTGTTTCAATCAAATAAATGAGGGGTTAAAGAGGGAGCTGGCTCAGCCTGTGTCGGAGGGCAGGGTGGATACACATCCTAATCCTGACACTGCATCTCCGGTCTGAGTCCAGGAGGGGCTC